GGCCGGGGAAGGAGGTGCGGGAGGATGGGGGAGCCTGCGACGGGAGGAGGGGGGAGGCCGTTGGGGAAATCGCCGAGCAAAGTTAACCGGTTGCCCTGTCCTTTCTGTTCCAGGGTGGGCCGGTGGAAATCCTGCCGTTCCTCTACTTGGGCAGCGCTTACCATGCCTCCCGGAAAGACATGCTGGACGCTTTGGGGATCACAGCCTTAATCAATGTCTCGGCGAACTGCCCCAACCACTTCGAAGGGCACTACCAGTATAAAAGTATTCCCGTGGAGGACAACCACAAGGCAGATATTAGCTCCTGGTTTAATGAAGCAATTGATTTCATAGGTAAATGAGTTCTCTTTACAGCCTGCTCTTTCTCTGGGGTAATGCACCCTGGGAAGTGATTTTTGGGCATTGTTTTCCCCAGTAAAACCTATGTTTGAGATTGGCAAATCTCATTCCGCAAGGGAGAGATATGTGAGAAACATTTCCTTTAATTTTATTCTACTTGGAGGAATAACCTTGGCTTCACAAAGCTGTTAAAAATCTTGAATCAAGAGGTACTAGTCTTGCAGAAAAGAGCTAGTAAATTTAAGCGGATCACTGTGAAAGTAATCTTGCAAGACTGCTGAAGTGACCTGGGGGAGCTATTAGTATAATTGGAATCGGAGCCCAGAATGAAAATAGCTAGACTGCTGGTTCCCTCAGGACAAAGGCTCTCTTTGTCTCCAGAGCACTGAGTGCACCTATTAGGCTGAGGAAGGGATGGATTAAAGAAATGTAAAACAGCAGTCTGTGCTTTTCAATCTGGGGAAGCGGTGGGACTTGTTTGCTAACGGTGTGTTTTAATTCTTTCAGACTCTGTTAAAAAAGATGGAGGAAGGGTATTTGTGCACTGCCAGGCTGGCATTTCCCGCTCAGCAACCATCTGCCTTGCTTATCTCATGAGGACCAACAGAGTCAAACTGGATGAAGCCTTTGAGTTTGTGAAGCAGAGAAGAAGCATCATTTCCCCAAACTTCAGCTTCATGGGGCAGCTGCTTCAGTTTGAGTCACAGGTTCTTGCCCCCAACTGCTCAGCAGAAGCTGGTAGCCCTGCTATGTCAGTATTGGACAGAGGAGCATCGACCACCACAGTCTTTAACTTTCCAGTCTCCATCCCTGTTCACACCTCGTCCAGTGCTTTAAGCTACCTTCAGAGCCCCATCACCACTTCCCCGAGCTGCTGAAAAGCGGATGAAAACGTGGCCAGGACTCAGACTTACTGTCTCAAAAGTGCAATGACTACAGGGACAGTGTTGTCAGTCTCTTATGTTTTGTGGGGAATCATCCATGTGTCCTAGAACAACGTCATAAATGGAGAGGAGCTCACCTGATGCCAGAGAACTAGATGTTACTGACTTGTCTGCTGACTTTTTAAAGCCAATATCTGGATGTCTACACAGAGATCAAAGGACACTGTCTCTTCCTGAGCTGTTCCTCCTTGTCTTCTGTCTGTCCTAAGCCTGCTCCACGTTTAGTAGCATGCTCACCAGTATTCCCATTCCTGGACACTTTGAGCAACCACTGATGTGGTCCCCTTTTATATGACAGTCCTATTTATTTATTTTTACATTAGTGCTTTGGGGGGGTTTCTGCCTTCACAAACCTAAAGTATCATTTCTAGAGAAACCAAATACCTCAGTATTTTTTTTGGTACTGTAATCCTGTGTGTGTATATGTCTGTCAGCTCTTCTTGTTTCCTAAGCACTGACGTGAAAGCACCAGGCGAGTGCTTTTTTTTTTTTTCCTGAGTTGCTGAGGGTTGTATGTTTGATTTATTTATGACATGAAATAATATATTTCTTCTTATGAAGACATAGTTTTGTTACATGATTATAACTTTTTTTTATACAAACAGAATAAATTATGATATTTCTATTGACCTGGATGATACATTCTTCAAAATTTTGCATTTTACGGTCCCAAAACTCATGTGGAAGCTCCCACGTGAAAAGCTGCAAGGGAAATCTGAATTTTCAACTCTGCTGACCTCAGGTTTTGACTGATCTAGATAGAAAAAGATGTTTAAACAATACCATTCAGTAGAAACTACTGTTGCTTCTTAACCTGAGCTTTTCTTTGTCTTGCTATAATTGTATGTGGTGGCAGAGAGCCAAGGCTGGCTTCTCAGCTGTAAGGTGGGTTTGGCTGCAGTGGTGGTCACAGACCTGTAACAGTTTGAACTAGCTGAGATTTGGGCACAGAATTTAAAATAATCCTTCTCCTAAGAAGGCAGAAGCAGCTTCTTCATTGCTTGCTTTTAATGCTTCAAAGATTAAGTCTAAAAAGTTACCTTTTAGTAACATATCTCCAATGCTTGAGAGTTTGTGCCAAGGTGTTTTCTTTTCCTGTCCCACTTCCTTGATTTCTTTTTGTGGCTCAAACTGCCTCTGATGCTTGGTCTGAAATATTTGGCTTGCTGGGCTATCTCTAAATAAATCAGGGCACGATGAGATCAGGTAACCAACAAGTTGCTTATTTTCTTACCCAGATAAATTCTTTCCGGCTGCAGATTCTTACCAGACTGGCTTTTAAATCTGGTGTTTCAGTTGAGGCTATGAAAAGTTTTATGTATGAAAAGCTGGGCAGAGCAACCCTGACAGACCAGTGCTCCTGACAGCTCACGGGCAGAAGCTGCAGAGTGAGGGCGACAGCAGCAAATGGAGCAGGGTTAGTGCTATGTGGGGTGACAGGACTGCACACCCCCATCAAGTGTGGGGGCAGGATGTTCTGTGGGGGGAGCAGTGCTGCTGTGACATAGCCTTACCAGGGGAAGCTGATGCAGCTGGGAGTTTGTTTTCCTAGGCAGGGTAGTAATACTGGCAACAGTGAGAGAGATGCTGGAGGAGCACTAGGACCTCGGGTATCCTACATCCCTTCCTGAAGGGAGCCACCAGTATGTGCATCTCTGATACTTGAGTAGTCAGATCCTACTTTTGCCCTGTTAAAACCGGTTTTGCTTGGGTAAATACAGCAGATTATAACTCTTTGTGTAAAATCAAGGCATTTTAACAATTATGATCCTAAACTTAAAAATGAGGGGTTTTTAAACGTAAAGCAGCTGTGCTCTCCTCACGTGACTGGAGACAAGCAGAGCACCGCAAACTCCTGCT